GAATGCTGTGTTAAGTCCTCTCCAGTATGACAGAGCCACGAGCAAACTCAGGAGTGTCACGTAGGATGCCATTAAGATGGTCAGGGTGTGGAAGCACATGAAGTATAGGAGGCTGAAGAAGTTGTGTTTGTTTAACCTGCAGAAAAGAAGACTTAAAGAGGGCTTCTAACTTCTGCCTGCTACTAGGAGGGCTAGAAGCAAGATGCCAGGCTTTTCTCAGAGGTGCAAAAGAGCAAGAAGTAATGATCATAGGTTGCATTGAAACAAAATGCAACTGGATAGAAGGGGAGGAAATGTCACTGTTAAATGATTAACCATGGGAACAGGTTGAATGGGAAGGGTATTGAATCCCCTTCCTCAGAGGTATTGAAATTCTACTTTGACAAGACCCTGAGCACCTTCATCTAAGTTCCAACCAGGCTGATCCTGCTGTGAGTAGGAAGTAGAACTAGGGGATTTCCAGAGGTGACCTCTGACTTGCATTCTTCTGTGATTTTGTCTTGCCTGGTCTTCAGCTGACACTCTGGAAGGACTCGGGTTGCTTAGAGACCCCATGTCAGACTTCCTAGTCCAGTGCAGAAGTTTTAGGTAGTCTAAGAGACTCAGATCAGGTGTTGTTTTTTTATACAGGACTTCAAATTATCATGCCTCATCTCCTTTGGTACTTGCCGTTCCACCTTACCTGTGTGAGGACTGTGTGTTTCACCTTTTCCTATTGAAGTTATTCACCGTGCAACACATTCTGGACTCACTAGGCCTGAGAGAAAAGGTGACACCATAGCCTTTTTGTCAAGTCACTATGTGAGAAGCATGGTCTCCTATTCCTGCCATGGTTTCATCAGTATTCCATTTTACAATGAAATGTTTCAAGGGTTTGGTTTTTTGTATTTAAATTGAGTATTTTATGAGGACAATGCCTAAATGGATAAAGACATTTAGTTAGCTAAAGCACACGGAGAGGGGAAAGTACTACCACCTAAATACCAGTTGCTGGTGTTTGCATGATCAGTGTCTGCGATGATCATTCAGAACTCATATTTAAAGCTCTCTAGACTTGTGTTTAATCATAGAGAACAACAAAGTATAAGAAGTGCTGACAGTAAGGTGTCCTTACTTTGATCTCAGAAGGCATAAGTGTTGTATCCATTGCAGAAAAGGAGAACTGAGAGAAAAAGAGGAAACAGCAGCAGCAAGTGTTCTATTAATGTATTAGAGACATTTTTCAAGGTGATGAGCGATGTATGATTTCGGCGTAAAATATATGTATTGTATATATGCAATGTGCTGCATGCTCTCTGTAGTAACACATTCATTTTAGCAAAAGACCAGCAAGTACTTCCACACCATTCCATATGAAAATCTGACTAATTCTGTGCTTCAAAAGCAATGGCTTTACATCTTTTGGTACTGTATTACTCATGGAACTGAATCTGTAAGAGTATTACATTTTTAATACACTTTTATTGAGATCTTAAGTGAGATGCTTTAATAAAAATTAACTAAAAAATGAAATTGCATAGCAATACCCTGAAGCACTCAGGTTTTTGGCTTATATTCAACACTTCTATGATTCTAGGTGATAGGATGAGAGTGAAGCATACAGAGGAAGTAATAGCCATAGGTTATCAGAAATGATGGATAGCAGAAGAGAGTAAGAAAAGAAAAAATCTCTTAGCAAGGCCTTTTGTGATAGATGAAGGGTGATGGTTTTAAAGTAAAGGAGTTCAGGGTGGACGTGAGGAAAAATATTCTTTGCAATGAGGGTAGTAAAATACTGGCACAGGTTGCCCAGAGAGGTGGTGGATGCGCCATCCCTGGGGACATCTAAGGCCAGACTGGATGTGGTTCTGGGAAACCTGATCTAGTTGAATATGTCCCTGCTCATTGCAGGAGGTTTGGACTAGATGACCTTTGGAGGTTCCTTCTGACCTAAACTATTCTATGATTCTATGATGATTCTATGATCTTATAACTATTATCTTTTTTTAAGTCACGTCTCTCTGAATTAATTTACCTTCCATAACAATAGAATTAATAAATAACTGTCAGTTTTCTGGTAATATGCAGATACCCAAATTGGATTAATCAATTCATGCTGTTTGAGAAAGGTCTTTCCTGTTATTCCTATGAGAAACGTGAAAAATCCTTCTTTAACAAGATTGCCTGTGAAATAGATTCAGCAAATCAAGAAGATAAATGTTCTTCTAGAAGGAGTCAAGTTAGGCCTGGTGCAAATGTCGTCACACTTTGGTTCTTTCAAATCTTTTCTTTTTTTTCCCAATGTGTTATTAAGTTATTAAAACTTCTCTGTCTACCAAGGTATTGAGAAGGAAAGAGCAGAAGTGCCACTACTGAGACCCAGCAGTTCATTTTCAAAGATGACTGCCTTTGTACCAAGGAAATTAGTAGATAACATTCCCTCTAAACACATAGTGTCTTCATCATATTAAAATATTTTTCTGTTATTGTGTGTAAATAATTAACAATTATATATAAATTAACAGTATATATTTCTGAGTCTTCTAGATACATTGTTGCATATCATTTGCAGGCTTGCACAATAATTCAAATACACATAAAGCATTTTCTAATTATTATTTGAAACATTACTCACACTATAAAATCTCACAGCTTAGAACTGAATCTGTGGAAGGTCTTCAGGCACCTACTTTATTTTAAAGTAGATATACCTAAAGTGTAAGTCTTCAGGATATTCATTCAGTTATAAATTCTTGTCCTTCTTTCAGCTGGGATAGAGTTAATCAATAAATATTCTATAGCTGTATAAAAATAGTTGCTTCCAGTATGCCAGACCTACTAAAATATTGAGAGCACTGAAAAGAAAAATACTTAACCTTGTCAAAGCCTCGAGAGTAACTATTCCCATTTCTGTCTCAGCTACTGGGTCTAATCCAGCAGGTATTTTAATTGCATACTTCTGAGAATGTGGTCTGACAATAAGCAGGATCAGGAGAAGAAAAAGCATTAGAATAACTTCCCTCCAGCATTCCTACAGCCAGTGTGTTGACCCTGGAAGCTGGAGACTTGGGTTCCCTTCCTGTGGAGGAAATAAAGACTCCAAATAGTACCTTCCTTTTCAAACAATGTAAAACACCTTCAACAAAAAGACCAAGAATCACTCCTAAATCCCTTCCAGCAAAAATGTGGCACCCTCAGTGTGCCTGAACCACCCAACCTGTATCATGTCAGACAGCAGAGGCTTTGATTTGTTTCCCACACTGGTGCTGAGCACTGTAATCATGGCATTGGATGAGTGGAAAGGATGAGGAACCAGCCCCTGGAGCACTAGTAAGGTTGATGACAGCCAGTTTACTTAGGCCTTTGATTTGTTTGAATGAACAAGGATCTACTTACACTATATAAATGGGCAGTTTCATTACTGCTGCTGGATAGAAACAGGAATAACAAAACATCTTAAACTAGATTTTCTAGGCAACCATTGATAGGGATCTAACCTTGCCTCACTTACCCAGAACTGCTTCTTTTGCAGTAAAAAAAAAAAAAAAAATAAATGACTGTTTAGCACCTTTTCTCTGAATTAAGGTATTTTCTGAACTCATTTTTTGCAATACACTTCTCAGAAATAAAGTCATATGCTTTGGAGGAGCTTTAGAGAAGAGTTGAATTGAGATCAGTAAAGCTGTGTCTGGATGCACATGTCCAACAGAGTATAATGTACTGCAGAGTTCAGCTTTCTGCCCTAACCGTCTTCAAATAGAATCCATATTGGTTTTTATGCCTTGAAATTGTTGCCTTAGTTTAGGACATTATGGCTATAACCCTTTCTGTGCTTGGTGGGCAGTTAAAAGCAATACTTTGTATCTGCCAAGTGAATCAATAAGCAATTTCTATAGAACCTTATGGTATGCGTCTCTCGCATCAGCTACCATGAAGATTTTAGGAAATACCAGAATGTATTTCTTAGCAGTATCAATCATCCACTACCTAATGTCATTTTAACATAAGATCTAGAAGGAAAAAAAAAAAAATAAAAATACTGTTTCTTTTGAGAATTACTGCCTGGAATATACTTAAGATTTACGGAAGTAGGCATGGTAAGACAGGTTCCTACTGAGAAGGAAGCAACTCAGCGCCTCTTGCTCCCACAAATAGTCTGTGAAATGCATTTATTAAAAATTTATTTAAAAAATTTATTAAAAAGGAGTCTTAAATGCTTTGACTATTCTCTGTAATTCTAATTCTGGCCACAGAGTTAGATGATGACTTATCAAATTGACACTCAAACTTACGTGATGTGAATTTTTAATTGATCAGGTTGTAGAAAGGGGAATATTAAGGGTTTGATTTATATCTGCTTACCAAGCCAATACTGTAGAACAGGATGTTTTACTGAATTTAGGATCTGGTAATACATAAAGACTCTCTTGCACATAATTATTTTAATTTTTGGAGTACCAGATCAAACTGCAAATATTCTTGTAGCTTTTTGAAGCTCTTCTGAGAACATGATCAGTACAATTGTTAGATATGTGGCGCTAAACTGACGTTTGCTAAGAAGAGCTGAGGGTCCTGCTCTTACATGGGATGTTTGTAATTTTAAAGCATTTAAGCCTCCCTAATCATAAGGGATGGTGCTGTAAAGACTTTGATAATTAGTTTGATTAAAAGAAAATGATGATAGATTCACACTGATTAGAGAATCTCAGCAATTTCAGCACCAAGAACAGGAATGTTTGTCTTAATCAGTTCATCAGGGATTTCCTAAATTCCCTGAAACCCAGTTTGAAAGCATGACTCCAGGCACAGTTTTGAATAACAAATCTGATCTTGTAAATAGACTTACTCAGTTTCAGTACTTACAGGGCCGCTATCCTTTGGATATCCAGGCTCTTCGTGATCCTTAATATACTTAAATGAGTCATTAAATTATTAAGACTGTAATTCAAATTATTAGCAATTTATATAGAAAACTGAAGAAAACTGATGTAATTAATTCATTATTTTACTGTGCTTTGCAGGTCCTAAAATGGTAGAATTTCACGGTCAGCAGTTTCAGATCAACTCAAAGGATGGCAAACCACTTTTTACAGTGGATGAAAATGAGGTTGTAATTGGCACAGATAAACTTCGAGTCACAGGTTTGTAACAGTTTGAGAAATACCCAAATAGTAGCCACAAGAAAAACACAATAAAAATGGCATTTTTAAATACATCATTGTGTGTGAATGCATGTTTTGGTTTTACCTCATTAGCAGATAGAAACCTGAAGATATTCTGAACTTTTTCAATAAGTAAACAGTGAGAACTTTTAAAAGTAAAATAATATTTATCACAGTAAAATAATAAATATGTTGGTTTAGTGATTGTTGAAATTTTTTTCTGAATTATTTAGTATTTCCAGTGCACACTGAGGCTGAAAAAATTCTAGATAATACAGAATGAGTTGTACTGAGTTTTATTTGTAAAAGCATTTTTAGACTCTCTCTGATATTTTTATGTGATTTTATCTTTCAAAGTGAAAGCCACTATATTTCTGCTTTGTGTGTAGACATATGTCACAAGATGTTATTTATAATATATTTAAAATGTCATTTCTCAAAGACAAGTTTGTCTTGGGCTATTTCTGCAAATTGCCAAAGTACTCATTTAATAAATAAGATGTCACAGTTATCACAGGAAAAGCTATTTCCTTTTATATGACCTGATAAAGTCAACCTTCATTTTCCAGGTAAATGGTTGCATTAAAATAGATATATCGAGTTGTGATTTCTCCTTAAGCCATCAAAGGAAATACCAGAAATATACTGTAATTTGTTTTCAATTGCATTTTTAATATTTTTAACCTGATTGCAACATCATGTTTAACTTTTGCTAATTACTGGTCCTCTGAAATCTTGAGGTCTTAATTTGAATTGATATATTCATATTATTTCACTGTGCAAAACTACAAATGTAGTAACTATACAATTAGTGTTTCAAAGCCAAAGTTAAGTTATAATAAATGTGTTAATAAATTTTGTTTACGCCTGAGGGTCTTATCTTAAATTTTTTATTATTTAACCTAATTGAAATTACAACTTTGTTTAACCAGGAAACCATATCAAATAATTATTGTTTGCCCAAGGGATGCTAAACTTTAATAGAAAAGCATGTTTAACACAGATATGAAAAACTGCATAATTGTTAACTGATTTGGAAAAGTCTATCTCTGCTCAAAGTAAGCAAAAATAATTCATACATGAGCTTAAATTGTTATGCTAAAACATATATTCTGACTTGTGCAATATTAGTCGTTACACTGCGAGGGTAATTGTTTACTTTAGCAGATACTGTAGAAAGACATGTTGCCTGTTTCTTTTTTACACTGTAGTAAAATTCAAAAGCAAATCCATTAAAATCAGTAAGGTTATTTCAGTGTAAAATTAATAGGAGTGAGAGGAGATTCATGCCTACTTTGCTTCAAATTAATTTATTAAAACTGTGATTTAAATGATACTATTAGCATGAAGGATGAATTAGTAATACTTTGCACACTGAGATAATTTTTTAAACAATTTAGATAACAAGATAAATGTAAAATAAATTTTAAAAAGCTTGTACCATAAGAAACAGAATACCTCAGGCTTAAAATACACAAAGAACATTTTGCGATATTTTATCTACGATATTTGATTTTAGTTCACGTTATTTATGTGAATTATGAAAAGCTCAATAGCAATTTTTAGGAAAACCTGAAATGCTTCAACTAAAATATAATGTACCAGAGAGCAAATGTCATAATTTAGGATCTTTCAGGGAAAATGAAAAAGTCTAAGAATAAGTTAGTACAATCCAATACCTCAGGAATTGTCATTTTCCACCAATTTGATATGTTTGACCTCATGCTATTTCAGTTAGATGTTTTCTGGCCCATATGGTAGAATGAAACAGCAGCAGACTCTCTCTGTTCTCCTAAGAAGGGCAAAATCAAGGTCAGCAAAGCATCTCAGATACCTCACAGGGTCACAGGCAGGTCTTGATGCTCGAGTTCAGACAACTGAATTGAACCTGAAGTCAGCACAGTCAATGTAGCCTACAGCATGAGGAAGACACATAGATCTGGCATGGGGAGAGCTATTCTGCTGACCAAATGCAGTTGTCTACTTCAGGATGAACTTGATGGCTCACTCATATCCCTTGAATATAGTGGCTGAGTTCAGATGCTAAAGTGTGAGAATCCAGCAGTATTTGAAACACCTTAGCATGTATGAGACGTCACATGGTATTGTTTTCTCTACAAGAGACACTTCATTTGATCATGACAGCTGGAGGCCAGGCAGGATGAACAAGGGTATTTTAAATGACGGTAGGTATATATGATTAGGTAACTGAATTTTGCCTCTAGATCATCTGCAAGACCTATATCATAGACATCATAGACACTTAAATTTATGAAAGTGAAGCTCAGCTTAACCCTTCATGACAATTAATGCTACCTGGAGATGTACTTCAGTTACATCCTTTTCAATATTCAGTAATGACCTGCATCTTTTGCAGACATGTATTACTCTGGTACGGAGGTATTGAACATCAGCATTTTGTTCTGGTAGGGTTTTATACATTCAGCTGGCATTGGTGACAGTAAACCCCACCTAGTACCAGTGTATTAGCTAGCAAATAAATTATTGCTTTATACCTAATAGTATTATCATGGCAGTAGGAGTGAGGTCACAGGACTGGCTGGAAACAGAATCTTCTTGTACAATGGCTAGAGTCCATGGCTGTAGGACTCTGCTTTTTCACTCCCTTGCCTGCCGTACAAACTTGCCAACTAGAAGGCTGTCCATAGAAGGGAGAAAATAGGCTCAAGCAGATAAAATTCTCTGCAAGAGAATTCATTCAGCATATATAAAATGGTCTCAACTACTGCACAAAAAGCTTTTTAACAATTACAAATTAGAATTTGTATATCATGACTGTTGTATTTGGTAATATTTTGATGGTGAGAAGGTAAGAAATTAATAGAATGTATTTGCTTAGCCTCCACTTTTCTTGAAGAAAAGGTGGCAGGGCAGAGGGGATTGGTATTTTTATGGAGAAGCATATTGTATTGCCCTTTCTCCAGTTTACTACTTGTCCTGCTTGCTTGTCTTTCATAATGTCTTAAAGATTTGCTGAGTAAGCGATTTTCTAGTGCTCTGTTCTATGGAAAGATTTTCAGATTTAGTAGCTAATGCTGAAGTGCAATGTGAAGATGCATGTCTGATTTAAACACTTCTGCTCAGAAGGTAAGGTAAGTAGGAGACAAAACGAGAGTATGAATACACGTTCTGTTAGACTTCGAAGAGGCAGATAGTGTGTGCTTGATAGGGTGTGTTGGGGGTGTTAATGAACCTTGCTTCATTAAGAAAATTAATATTTTGAGCTTGTGTATTTTAGGATTAAACTCGTAAGTAATAGTCTATAAAACAGTAAATATAGTAGCATTCATATCATATTTGATGTTATTTCTTTACAGTTTAAAAGATAGAGTAGGTAATGAAGATAAGAAGACAACTTAGGGCCATTTGAAAAAAAAAAAAAAATTGCCCTGAGATTATTTCTGGGGTTTTAGTGTCATACTTACTTTTCTCACAGGAAGGTGAGGTTTTACTCTTTCTTAGAGGTGAAAGCTAAAAATATGCAGATAAGCCTTTTCATTCAGTCTTATTCTACCACCACCACCCCTGTCACTAGTGCATTAATGTTGCTATTTCCCATTGGCTTTCTTCCATTATGAATATTTAGGTCTGTAATACTTTCAAAGATTTTGTGGAATTTTAATTCTCTCTATTAACTTTAATGGAAGTTATGCTTTAAAAACCTTACTTACTTACTTTGTTGTCCCAAGTAGTTTAAAATTTCTGTCTTCAACTTTCTAGATTTCATTTTAAAATTTACACATGAATTTTTACATTACCTGTGTATTGTGTTGTTCCAACCAATACTGTAATAGTAGGACTGTAGCTATATTTTAATTGGTTTATTAACTGTTAATATATTGTTTCTTATCTTTATTTCTAATATCAAAGTGGCCATATAAATCACCGTTTCTATTTTGTTTCCATTTGAACTTTTACAGTATAGTTTGGGTTTTGTTTTTTTTTTTTTTTTACAGGACCTGAAGGAGCACTTTTTGAACATTCTGTAGAAACACCACTTGTGAAAGCAGAAGCCTTTAAACAGCTTAGGTAAGAATTTATACATAAAAACATAAATCTAATAAGTAAATATTGTTTGCCATAAATATTCACATATTTTCTGACCATGGCATTTGCAACATCATTTACAAAACTGTAATTTAAAACAAATTATTGCTTTGAATGAAAATTATACATTGCTCTGCAATTTTGAAATATATTATGAATCCTTTATTGTTGATGAATATTTAAAGCCACTTAATGTACCATTGAAGTTTTTCTGAAAACTTCTATTTTTCAGTTTTGAAAACCTGAAGTATGACTTTTTCTATTATGTTGCAATAGAAGTTGCTTGTCTGCAGCAGGTCATTGGCCTATAATTAGTCAAGATTTTTAGAAACTACTGTCAGTCTGAGGTAACAGACTAGTAAGAACACTCTGGAAATGTGCAAAACTGTATGACTGAAGAGCTGTTTGGGGTGAGAAAATCATTATAAAATACTTTGTATGTTTCAGAGATCCTTACTTCAGGATAGCATTTCTTTCTGCATAATTCTATGTAATTTTGAGTATCCCAAATTAGCTTGTTATAAATTGGTTATGATGAGGTAATAAACTCGAATTACGTTCTGTTCATGAACATGTTATGTTTCTTTTTATAAGCCAGTTCAAAGAAAGATTTGAAATGAAAGAGGATTTCTTTAACAACTATACTTCTGTACTTTCATACCTTGGCAGTTTGCTACTTTCTGTCATAATTTCTCTTCTGATAGGGATAACTACTAGAGGGTAATGGAAGATGATTAAAGCTTTCAAAAACACTGTCTGTATCTTGGTGTCTGAATTTTCAAACTGAGAATGGCAAATGAGAGGGAGACCATTAAGATACTTCTTTTAATTTTCTCCTTGATATTTAAGATACACTTACAGTAAGATATCTGACGTGTGCATTCAAAGACCAAATGAGATCAAGACATTAGTTTTTACATGTTGATGTCCACTTCAGAAGTGTGTTTCTTCTACTGTGCTAGAATTTGGATGTGACAGACTTTGATCAATATGTAGGACTCTGCATTTTAGTGACCATTGTCTGAATTTGTAGGGATTGGATTCATTATGCTGTAAATTTGTCATTTCCTGTCATTATCTCAATTTTTATAAGGTAGGATGTTGAATTTTGTAATTACAAAGACAAGAATCTCTGCAAATTTTCATTGGATACATATCAACTATTTTCTGTGGTTATTACTTCACTTCGAATGCATCATCAATTAATTTTTTAATAGGCTTAAAGCTAATAGTTTTATCGTACATTCATTATGCTGTAGTCAATTTTAAGTTCTTATCTGCACTTTATTCAAAAACAATTACACTGTTTCAGACTGTATGCAACTATTATTATTATAAATTTTTCCTCTGGTTTTGAAATAGGATATAATTTGAAGGAAATTCAAATTCATTGAGATTAATTCAAATCACTTGTAAAGTTCTCCTTCATGGATGAGTGGCTTTTCTCTCTAGTGATTTTTCATGTCAATTGTAAACATGTGTTTTGATATAAAACATTGCTATATGTTAGCAGAGCTCAAGTGTAATGAGTAAAATCCCATTCAGTTCTGTCTTCAAATAACTTAAAATAATGGGAAGTACAGATTCTTCCAGAATTTACAGAAGTTTCCTAATAATTATAACATCAAAGAAACACCTATATGGCCACATCAACACTGACACTTGCAACTGACCTTAGTATTTGACATAAATCCTAAGAGCTGCTAAACACCTGTGCTAGAGAGCAAGTTAGCTTAACCCTAAGAAAAATGCTGAATATAGGACATGAAGCTGTGCAATGTATACACCACTTACTCATGTCCTGGCAGGCCCTTACCCAGAGCAGTTCAAAATGCCTTGTTCCTTTAATTTTATTTATTTTTTTACTTTTCTCTGTCATAATCTGTGTCAAGTCTGAAAGCAGAGATGGCAGTGATTTCATGGAAGGCTTCTTGGGAGCATGAAAAAGCAAATGCATTTGTCTGCAGTGCAGATGCTAAGTTAAGATGTAGGCAGAAAAGAACAATTTATAAATCTCATGCTGGAAAAAGTTTACTTTCAAGAGTAATCTTAGATGTCATTGTAAACAACATTCATGCATTCTGTTGTACAAGAGCTCAAACAAGTTTACCAATGAATGGTTATTTTTTAATGCTTTATAAAGATTCTGTTTCATTCCACACTGTTAAATACAGGAATCTACCTACTGAAAATCACTTCAGTATGAAAATTTAAAATGCCATTTTAAGTATTACTTTTCTATTTCAAACTTGAATATGCTTCTTTTCCACATTAAGGTAGTGAGTACCAAGTTATAGGTAATATAACCTATTTGCTCACCTCAAGCCATATCTTCACACTTCCACTGTCGATTAATCTTCTGCTATTTTTCCTTCAGTGGTTGTGCTGTACCATATGAATATGATATGCTAAATGAATGTGATATGAAGTGCCATGGTATGCAGCATTAACTATAGGGAATACTGCTTCAAGAAAACTCATCCACTTCAAATGTAGTTGCATGTTTCAAGGAGCTGATTGGAAAGCTGTTGATGCTCATAACTTTTCAGCTAATGTCAGATGAACGGAGGCTGCATTCACTCTCTGTCATTCAGATTTAGGGCAGGACTGGAAACAAAGCTGACATAAATGGCCTTCTGAATTACACATTCTGCTGGCTTTCCTGTCCAAATGCTGAACTTCAAGATAGACTGCTTTTCTGGGAACAAAGAGATAAGTGTGTTAGAACATATCTTTTTATAGCTAAGTAATGGAGACAGAGCAATGCAATTATACTGCGGTCAGTAACTGTCTTTTCATTCCGTAATTTGAAGGAAACATTTAGAGTCCTTTTCAGTCTAATAGATTGAATTCATGACTCACCCATAAAGAGATGTGCTTGCACTTACTTCCAACTAGTAGAAAGAATTACAACAACAAAACTGAAATTTCAAAAATGAACTTTCCTAGGTTTAAAATAACACTGCCTACTTTTTAATTCCTTTCCTGGATTTCTTATGTCTAAATAAGATACCTAGTTTCCATTTACAAAATTTAAGACTGTAGGACCTAGCAGAGACCTATAAACAGGGTCTTGCACATCATAAGTGTCGACAAACTTTCCAATGGCATGCTTACAGTCGACAGGAAGATTTGGATATATCCAAAAAATATCCTATGCAGAAAAACAGCACTGAGGAGGTACCTCATTAGAATTAGCTAGTTGTCATTAGTAAGAACAGAAATATATCTGGACTCCTACTTCTCCCAGCAATTCAGTTGCCTCAAATAGTCGAGTGTCTACACATCTTCCAGGTGCAGAGTTAGGCCATCAGTCAGCACCCCCAGGTCCTTTTTCCACCAAGCAGCTTTCTAGCCACTCTTCCCCAAGCCTGTAGCGCTGCATGGAGTTGTTGTCACTCTAATGCAGGATCTGGCAAGTTTTCTTGTTGAACCTCAACAAGCACCTATTTACTGGGTCATATCTCCTCTCCTATGGCTGAACCTGATCTTCTGTATGGTTGTGGGACCACAGAAGAGCAAGCAATAGGAAGCACAAGTTATTGTTTAAGGCATTCATCCAAGAGTAGGAGGAGACCAGGAGTTTTCAGTTACAAAAGTAATCCTGGAAGAAGAACCAGATGAATGCCCTGACCACTAGGTTATCTCCTCTTTATTTGGAGACAAATAAAGAGGATTATTTGGTTGTACAAACGCTTGCATTCAACACAGGCATTGCCACAATGCAGCTCTTTGCTCTTGCCAAACAGTTTTGTAGTCTGGAAAAGGGAGGTCACAGATACAGGTTTTATTCCCCTCAGGATAATGAGGGAATTGAACTGATGCTTCATAATTCAATATCGATATGATTGTATTATATGTGATATAGCATTATTATAATATTGATTATTATTGATCAGGTCTCCAGGGGCTTCTGTAGAATTTAGCTCCCACCTCAAACTGGATTGCAGCAATGTTTTAATGGAAAATGGGTACCTTGCTTTCCAAATAAAGTAATTTAAACAGAATTAATGAAACTCATATTCAGACACATATCTTGTAACTCAAAATGTAGGTGGTAAATCTGTAGTAGTAACTAATGGAACTAGATGATGTGGACAGAGACATTTATAGAAATTTCCTAAAAGCCAGCTTCTCCCTGGGTTCTGTGTTAGATACTGGAAGTAGCCTCTCCTGGTATTATTAAGAGTTTAATACCAGCACACATGCCCTTTTATATCCCCAGTTATCAAATAACAATCTTGATACGAAAACTAGTGTCTCAGTTTAGGCATTTTTCCAGTCTGATGCTAACATAGTTTTCTGATAATATATAGCACTTTAGAATACTATTTAGCATATTATTTTATTCTTTCTATATTTTATATCCTTGAAAGTTTTGTCATTTTGATACTGTTCACTTCTTGTGATCTACATGGCTAAGGCAAAACAATGAATGAGCAAAATTCTTTAAATCTCAAAACAATGTTTCTGAGCCGAGCATTCTCATTTCCCAAACTTTTTGAAATGAGCTTACAAAAGTGACGTCTTTCCATTTATTAAGTAACTGCATACTATGCATAATGAATATAATGCTCATGAATGAGTACTAGCTTTGTTCTCATATTTCCACATATGGATGTCTGACAGCCAGAAACTGTTTCTTCTGAGCACAAATCCTGTGGGAAATCACACTTAGTACAGTCAGTTTGTGGCATTTTGCCAATTCTTCAACTGAGGGTTTACATCCAAGTTCAGAAGTGACCCACATCTTTCCACCCTTCTTGGATTTGCATAGCACTATAACAGGAATGATGTCACTCTTCCAGAGAATCAACTTTTGTCAGAGTATGATTATAAATATATATATATAAAATGTTATGCAAATGTGGGTATATTCTGAAAATACTTCAGTAATTCCCAGACAAAGAGATGTTTTTTAAGCAAACATATAATATTGACATTCGCTGAAACTTTAAATGTATAATTTTAGAAACATTGCT